GTTTTCACAGTCCACACTGTGACACAAAAACAGTGATTTCAAATTTATCCACTTTCGAGAGCGTTTTCAAAAAACTCAGTTTTCCTTGACCAAAAATGCCGTCTCAGTGTGGACGGAAGGCCAAAATGGAGAGAAAAAGATGCGTTTACAAACAAAAACGTATTAGTGTGGACGTGGTTTGAGATGCAGACAATCCAGACTTGGGTTTACAGTCAAGAGACATCTTACGGGAAGCACAGAAACAGTTCATGAGTGAAGGGATAAGATGGGTTAATTTCAATATAGGTGGTTTACTCTTGCTATAAAGCGAGAGTAAACCAGACCCTGCAGGAACTCGCAGCACTCTTACATTTCTCCATCTTAAAAGTTTGTGGACAAGACACAGTTGGCACAGCTCATGAAAAACAAAGAAAGACAACTTTGTAAACCAAAAACACAAACGTATCACTTCAAGTCAATATCCAGACCATCTGGAAAAGAGCAGGAGGATGGCTAACTAAAGCCAGCCAGAATAAGTAGGCGATGAACTTATTAGATGGGGACCTCAAACAGAAAACCGGAAAAGGATGTGCTACTCAGAAGACTCATGTTTCTCATATCTCCACAGCAGCCTTCCATAGTTTATCTCAACACCGCTACAGAAACAGTAATAAAGATTAATAAATGAACACTATCTGAAGCAAAGCAAATTGGGAAAACTGTTAAAGAGGCCCTCTACAGTGCAAGAATTCCTTTGTCCAACCTCAACATTAAAGAAAAGCCCATCACATCCCTGAGTAAAGGCCAAAACATCGACGTACTACCAGCTGACTGGAAAGGTGCATAATTCCTCAGTCCCAGCAACATTTATGAGGTCTTAAGGGAGACCTCACAAGCAGCTACAAAGTAATTAATTGCAAAAGTCATTAACAACCTCTAAGCGAATAAGCCCTTTACCACCCAACATACCACCGCCTTTATTCTGGAGATACTCAAAGTCCATATATCTGAGTGCACTGATCCACAAAGGAGGAGTCCTACTTTTAATAATAAAAACCACCAAACACCTCGTCACCATCTTAACTACACATGCCCCACATCAAAGACTCAGACTTCACCAATAAGGTGTGTAAGCTTACTCTACATGAAACCATAGCATCCTTTGATGTCATCTCACAGTTGTAAGCCTACAATTGAGCCAGTGCAGATGCAGTCCGAAAACGATTAGAGGGAGTCAACTCCTCACACGACAGGACTAGCTTTACCTCCAATCAGTATCCTGTTAGACGTTGTAAACATGCACGACAGACCCAGTGGCGTTGTGATAATTTTTACTTCTTTAATGACGGTTGCTGGACACACACAGCTGCAGCTGTCCCGCTGCCAGCTCAACATAACAACAACAACAACGTTAACTCAAAATCCAGGCTTTTAAGCCAGCGAGGCGTGATTGCAGATATATTATCCCCCCCACGCTGAAACCACATGGGCACTGGACGAACTGTTTGATATTATCGACCGGCAGGAAATGTTACAAAAGGCAAAAGGTAAAGGAAAGGAACACACACAGAAAGAAAGCTCTTAAAATGTGGTTATCCCAACTGGGCCTTCATCAAATTTGGGAAGCTGCACAGGAAAAAAGGTCAGACACCACCTAGGTAGAAACACAGTAACAGGTGGAACAATTTTCTCATCCCTTATGTAGCAGGTTTTTCAGAGAAATTCAGGAACTTTTTCACCAAGCATGACATCCCAGTGCACCACAGACCCTAGCCACACACTTGCACAAAAACTGATTCATGCCATGGACAAAACTCCCAACAAAACTGCTGTGCAGTGCAGCGAGGAGTCCTGAGTTCTAAATTGGAGAAACAAAGCAGCCACTTCATAAATGTAAGACACAACATAGAAGAGCCACTTCGATAGGACAATACTCAGCTATACAAAGAAGACAGGCCGTTCGAGAGAAAAGTGAACGACCATCATTGAACTGAGGGCGGGTGGTTTACAACACCAGCTATCAGCCACCTACAAGGCAGTCCTCTCAATCCTTCCCA